GTTTAATGACACTCAGCGGGTGTTGCAGTGCATCAGTCCAAAAGAAGTTAAATAAAAAGCGCCCATCCATAAAAAAAGTGTCTCACACGGCTCCAGGGGGTGAACAAAGGCCTCCTGTAGTGAATCAATGCGTTTTTGTAAGAAAAATATCCATATTCAAAACGTAATAATCACTTTAATGTAGCTTGCGCTCACTGTTGTAAATGGAAGCAGCTTCGGGCGGTTGATGTATGAGGTCGGCTTTGCGCAATTTAAAAAAAATCTTATTTATTGTAAAAAAATATATATTGTTATATATAAAAATGGTATGAAAGTTTTGAAACCATATGAAAGCAACATGAATACAAATTATTTACTCTCTCTCTCTATATATATATATATATATAAAAAAATAACTATAATGTGTTTTTTTAATCATGCATATTATGTCATTTTCTTGGGATTTTACCGTTTAATATTTTGCATAACCTATTGAGTCATGTCATCAAAATGGGCAAAAAGTACATTTTTCGGAATGGTTTTTATGAAACATATTCTTACATATAAATATGAATTGAAAGCATTTTGTCCTTTATTTCTGCAGTGATTCCCGACACGCTGCTCATTACACACTCTCGCATTCTGAGCGGCCAACCCGTTATCGAAGGCACGGAGCTTCAGCTGACGTGCGCCGCGTCCGTCCAATCGGATCAGCACACTCATGTGTCCGTCACATTCGGCGTGCGCAGCAGCAGGGGCCCGGAGTCTCAGGGTCACAACCTCCGAGAGATCATTGGCATCGACCGCGAGCTGCGCGTGACACCGGGCCGCAGCGGCGCCTACGGGAAGAGATACGGGGAAGGAGAGATTGCTGTGGAGAAGCGGAAAGGGGACGGAGGCCGGGATCTGTACGTACTGAAGATGAGCGCTCTGGCACCCGAGGATTCTGGGTCGTATTTCTGCGAGGCTGCGCAGTGGATCAGAGATCCGGATGGCAAATGGGAACGCATCGCACAGAGGACGATGGAGCTCGGGAATCTCACCGTTCAACCGCTTGGTTAGAAACATTTACATTATCTAGGCATTTAGCAGGCGCTTTTTATCCAAATGAGGACAATAGAAGCAATCAGAACCAACAAAAGAGCAATACATTTACATTTAGTCATTTAGCACACTTATTAATACTTATTTTATTAATAAGTAATATTATTACTTACAATAATGTAAGTGTTTCGGGTAGCCTAACGCAGTACACGTAGCAAGGTTTTTATTTATTTATTTTTTATAATAAATAAAAAGAAAACAAGTAGATAGAATAGAGAACATTCGTTTTAGAGGGTCTCTTTTCTTTTCTTTTTTTACAAAAAAAAAAGTCGAAAGAATAGAAAAATATTTGAGAACGTTAGTGTTAGAGGATAATTTTTAAAAGATAAAATAAGTACATAGAATAGAAAAAGAATAAAGAGTAGAATAGAAACAATCTCTCTTATTTAATCTGATCTATTACAGTGTTTCTCCTGCCATTATATTAGCGGCCCGCCCCCCTTGAAGGTCAAGTTAATTTTATTTT